CATACACTTCTTCCAGCTTTTCTGTGGGGGACCCCAAGGCGTTCCCATGCCAACCGAGAGACATGGTCTCTCCAGAGTGCTCTGGGTCTTCCCTGGGGTCTTCTCCCAGTCAGATCTACCCGAACCACCTCCCTATTGAGGTGCCCAGGAAGCATCCTTATTATAATAATATAATAATAATCATTTTATTTAAAAAGCGCCTTTCAGGACACCCAAGGATACTTTACAGTAAGAACAAAGATCAACAGGAATAAATTACATAAAGAATATAAAGTACATAAAGAATATAAAGTACATAAAGAATATAAAGTACATACAGAATATAAAATGCATAAAGAATATAAAATACATACAGCAAAGTTAAGGATAAGCGAGTCTAAAGAAATGTGTTTTCAGAGCAGTCTTGAATAGAGAAAAAGAGGTGGTGTTTCTTAAGTCAGGGGGTAGAGCATTCCAGAGATGAGTGGCAGAGCAGGTGAAGGCCCTGCTCCCCATTGTGGAGAGGCGGGCAGATGGTACATGGAGGTGTAGTGAAGAGGAGGATCTGAGAGAGCGAGAGGGGATGGAGATGTGTAAGAGGTCAGATAGGTACGGAGGGGCAAGGTTGTGGATAGCTTTGAAAGTGAGAAGAAGAATTTTGAAGACGATGCATGATTTAACCAGGAGCCAGTGGAGCTGCTGCAGGACTGGAGTGATGTGGTTATAGGAGGAGGTTTGAGTGGTGACACGGGCAACTGAGTTCTGGACCAATTGCAGCTTCTGGAGAGATTTGTTGGGGAGGCCATAAAGAAGGGAGTTGCAGTAGTCAATCCGAGAAGTCACAAGACTGTGCACAAGGATGGCTGTGGAGCGGGGTGTGAGAGAAGGGCGGAGACGGTTAATATTTCGGAGATGGAAACATGACATTGTTGATGTGAGAAGTGAAGGAGAGAGTGATGTCGAGGATGACACCAAGACTCTTGACCTGAGGCGAGGGGGATAGCAAAGAGTTGTTAAGGGGGGTGAGAAGATTTTCTGATTTTGAAAGAGAGTTTTTGGTACCGACAAGAATGATTTCTGTTTTGTCACTGTTTAGTTGTAGGAAATTGTTAGAAAATATTGCAAACACTGCACCAATCTGTCTGTCAATCTCATTCTCCATTCTTCCCTCAATTGTTAACAAAATCCCGAGATACATGAACTCCTCCACTTGAGGCAGAACCTCATCCTTGACCTGAAGAGAGCAATCTACCCTTTCCTGACTGAGGACTATGGCCTCAGATTCAGAGGTGCTGATTCTCATCCCAGCTGCTTCACACTCTGCTGCAAACCGCTCCAGTGAGAGCTGGAGATCACAGCACGATGATGCCAACAGGACCACATCATCTGCAAAGAGCAGAGATGAAATCCTGAGGCCACCAAACCGGAATCCCTCTACCCTCTGGCTGCACCGAGAAATTCTGTCCATAAAAGTTGTGAACAGAATCGGTGACAACGGGCAGACCTGGCAGAGACCAACTCCCACCCTGAAAGGCACCCGACTTACTATCGGCAATGCGAACCAAACTTTCGCACTGCTTGTATGGGGTCCAAACAGCCCGTAACAATGGGCCACCAATCCCATACTCAGAGCACCACTACAGTGTACCTTGAGGAACAAAACCAAAAGCCTTCTCTAAGTCCACAAAACACATGTAGACTGGATGGACAAACTCCCATAACCCCTCGAGGACCCTAGTGAGAGTAAAGAGCTGATCATTGTTCCACGGCCAGGACGGAACCTGCATTATTCCTCCTGGATCTGAGGTTTGACCAACAATCTGACTCGCTTCTCTAGTTCCCCTGAATAGACCTTACCAGGGAGGCTAAGGAGAGTTATGCCCCATATTATATATTATATTGGTATTATTATTACTATATATTACTACTACTATATTACTACTAGTATTACTATATATATATTGGAGCACACCCTCCGGTCCCCCTTTTTGAATAGGGGAACCATCACCCCAGTCTGCCAATCCAGTGGCACTGCCTCCGAGGTCCATGTGATATTGCAAAGGCACATCAACCAAGATAGCCCCACAACATCCAGAGCCTTAAGAAAATCAGGGCGAATCTCATCCACCCCTGGAGCCCTGCCACCACAGAGCTTTGTAACTACCTCGGCAACTTCAGCCAAGGTAGTTAAAAATTGTCATTAGCCAGTTATGGACAGACCAACCCCAAAGTCCCCTGACTCCGTTTCCTCCATGGAAGATGTGCTGGTGGGATTGAGGTCTGAGAAGCATTCCTTCCACCTCCCGACAGCATCACTGGTTGAGGTCAACAGCCCCCACCTTCACTGAACACAGTATTGGTAAAGAGTTGCCTTCACCTCCTCAGCTGCCTGATGGTTTGCCAGAATCTCCTCGAAGCTGACCAAGAGTGTTTATTTGAAGCCTCACTGAACTCCTCCCACATCGAAGCTTTTGCCTCAGCAAAAGCAAAGGCTGCAGACCTTTTGACCCTCTGGTTCTTCTCAGCTGCCTCCAGAATCCCACTAGACAACAACAGATAGCACAATGGCTCAGTGGTTTGCACTGTTGCCTCACAACAAGAAGGTCTTGGGTTCAATCCCTGGTTGGACATGGGGTCTTTCTGTGTGGAGTTTGCACGTTCTTCTCATGCTTGCGTGGGTTTTCTCCAGGTACTCTGGTTTCTTTCCACAGACCAAAAATATGCCTGTTAGTCTGCGTTCAGGCCCAAGCCTCCCTTGCAAAAGAGATCTGTGATCTCAGTGGGATTTGCCTGCTTAAATAAAGGTTAATAAATAAACAAGGCTCGATACGACTCCTTCAGTTTGACAGCCTTCCTAACCGTGGGTGTCCACCACCCAGTTTGAGGATGGCCACCGCGAGAAGCACCGACAATCTTGCAGCCACAGCTCAAAGCAGCTACTTCAACAACTGAGGTGCGGAACACAGCCCACTGTAACTCAATGTTCCCCGCCTCAGCTGGGATACAGTTAAAGCTCTCCCGGTGGTTTGAGTTGAAGATCTTTCTGACGGTTCTTCTGCAAGGTGTTCCCAGCAAACCCTCACTATGCATTTGGCTTCCTCTAAATTTAAATCCTGTAAATTCAAGTCAGCTAATTTTATTTATTTATTTATTTACTTTTCTCTGCACTAAAAGTACAGGAGAATGGTGATTTACACAGAGTGATGCTATGCTATGCAGAACTAAGCACCACCTGATAATGTCACCAACCTCGTATTGCTTTTTCCCCCTCATATTTACTGCAAACCGTCTCTGACTCATGGTGTCAGTTTACAGCCAGTATCAGAGACTTTAACATAAATGCTAAACAAAACCAGAACAGGAAAAGAGCATGAAAAAAAAAAAAACTTTTTCACACTCAGAAGCATCATAAACAGTCAAACATTGCACACATACTGGTAATTCCTACCCAGCATGGTTTGCAATGCTCTGGGATGTGACTCTCACACATTTCACACACCTTTACTTTAATATTGATTTATTACTGAGAGAATATTGATAATGATGCACAGCTACTTTGTAGTTAGTTTATAAAAGTAGTTAACCACAGAGGATCACTGAAGTGAGGTAATTCATTAAATTACACCAGGGAGACGTCCAACACACATTGAATGCGCCACTCTGCTTCAGCACAGCAGAGTTCTGCTCCGCCTTTTTGGGTCTAATGGACTGGATTAATTTCTGAAATCTCACCTCTGAACGGGACAGACGCTTTACTTGTGATATATGAACCATTCTGAGTTGTGTTCACTTACAACGTTGTCACATTACTGACAGTCTTACAAGTCAGAGACAGCAGTGGATGATAAGTTAGCGCTTTAGCATTAGCTTCCACAATATTTTATATTTTATTTTCACAGTTTAGCATTAGGAAAGCTACACTTTTAGTTAGCAAATTAGCGATTATAGAAGCTAACTTTTTGGTTTACTGTCCACCACTGCAGTTGATCCACAGTGAGTCAACGTGTGATCTATGTGTCTATCTATTGTGTATTTTCAGGTGCAGTGAGAAGTGTTTCTCAAGACAAAGATCAACAGCAGACCAAGAACAGGAGTGTTTCTGATGAGGAGAACAACGAGAGCCAGAAACAAAAGGTTTCAATTGCATTACGCATCACTTTCTGTCTATATCTTATTTCCACAGTCATGCATATACCATAGGCAGTAAAAAAAAAGGGAGACTTTGGATTGGAACCCAGAAGTTAACGCTGGACCAGGCCAAGCTTTCCTTTCAGCTGGTTTTAAGTCCTGTTCTCTCCTTGTAAATCAGAGCCCCTAACTTTGGTCATGGTGGTCCACCTGTTGTTGTCATGCATGTTTTAGCTGTTTTCTGCTTCAGCACACCTGATTCTAATGTCTGAATTACCACTTCAGAATGTCATCAAGTTCAGCAGAAGCCTGTCAGTTACTCATACATGTCAGTCAGATGTGTTGAAGCAGAGAACTTCTGTGCACTAGTGAAATTGGACTTTTAAGTCCTGCCTACTCCACCATCCAATCATCATGGTATCACGTATGCTTTTTTTAAACAGTTGTAACTGCAGCTGAATGTTGTTGAAAAATAAAGATTTGCACAGTAGCCAGGTAAAATCTATGTGAATCAACAGGAGTTAACACCTGAAAATATCTGAGGTTTATTTTTGATTTTCTACAAGAACATTGTCCCGTTGGTTTACACGGAGGGGCAGAACCTAAACCAGCTGATCCCATTCTGGGCTTCAATTTCCAGCTTCTGCTTTGAGGTCTACTGTATTAACTGTGTTTTGAGTTTACCTGTCCACTCTGCTGTGGCTGGAGCTTGCCGGAGTGACCAGGCCCAGTTTGATGGTGCTGGTTCTGCAGGATTCATGAGGACAGAAGCTGACTATTGCTGTGTGTTCTGTTCAGGTTCTGGAAGAACGGGAGAATATGAAGAAAGAGCGAGAGGTCAGGATGAAGAAGAAAGAGTATCTAATGAAGGAGCTGGAGCGACTCAGGAAGCAGCAGGGTAAGGGTCAGGTGGTCTCTCTTGGAACTAAAACTCATCTTAAACATCTGGTTCTGTTTTATGAACATATGTTCTAAGGTGGACATGTCTCCATTGTTCCAGGTGAGCTGCTGAGGAAAAAGCGCCGGGAAAAGGACGGTCACAAAGACCCCCTGCTGCAGGAGCTTGGCCGACTGCAAGAGGAGGTTATGGCTCAGATCTCCAGCCTCCGCAAGGAGCACGAGGCCGCTGAGAAGAAACGCAGCGAAATTGAAAAGGTGGCGCTCATTTTTGGCCTTAACCCATCGGACCAGCCCAGTAAAACCATCAAGCAGCCCAAAGTTCAGGAGGATGAGCCACAACCAGCAAAGAAAAAGCGAGAGCCCGAGTGGAGCCCCGAGGAGCGGGAGGCCTCCGACAGCTCTGCAGCGAAGGTATGAGTTCTGTTGAGGAGGTACTGGAGGCGTTCTGTCAGGAGCATAGCTAGGGTCCATTCAGCAGGTTCTGATCCCTGTTTAGGAATGATTATTTAGATTATTAACAGATTCGTTGTATGTTTTTATATTAGTTTATTAACTGGTTTATTACATGAGGTTTAATAAGACTAGTTTATTATCCAGGTTACTACCTGAGTTGGGTAACAATTTAATTATTCAGTATGTTAGTAGTTTAACAGGTAAAATAACAGTACTTACCTGGTTTAAGTTTATTACAAGTTTAATGCGGTTATTATGAGTTTAATGACCTAGTTATAAGTTTTTTCAAATTTACGACTAGATTTAGTAACAAGTTGGATATCCAGTTTACTAACTAGTTCATCAGATTTCTAAACATACTTGTGCGTTGTTTCTATCTAGTTTAGCAACGAGTTCGTTATCCAGATTATTTTTAGTTTAACAAGGTTTAATATCTGACTAATGTCCATTATTACATTCACAACTGGGTTTATTACACCTTTGTTACCTGGTTTCATATTTGGTTTAATCTCCACTTTTAATACCAGTTTGAGTTCATTATGTCTTTTTAACTTGGTTTATCAAAAGATTTATCACATAATTATATATTTTATTATACAGTTAAATCTGTTTTAACATAATTACTACCTTGTTTAATCGACTTCATTTCTGGTTAGCATTTTCCTTACCATGTGTAATGATTGATCATTACACACTTTATGATTGGTTTAAATGCTTGTTTGACTTGTAGTTTATTGATTTAATAGCTGTTTTGTTAACTCAGCAAAATCACCATCTTAACGCAGTGGAGGAGTACGAGTACCCCTGTGATCCTGGGGGCTATGTTGTCTTGGGCATTATTACCTTGTGCATTCTGCCATAGCAAAAAGGCCTTAGAGCAGGGGGGTCAAACTCAGGGGGCCAAAATTAAAACCTTTTTCAAACTAAGGGCCAATTTCAAAATCTACATGAACTCAAATCAGATACCCAACATCTTTTCTTGGTCACCGGTTCCACAACAAGAGTTTGATTGGTCTCATTTGATGTTCTCTGTTGTTCTTTCAACATCATAATCAAAGATGACTGAAAAAATTCAAGCGATAGAAGTATTTTATGTTTCACATATCATCTTGGAGGGCCAGATAAGATGTCAATGAGGGCCACATTTGGCCCCCGGGCCTTGAGTTTAACACATATGCCTTAGAGATAGGATAAGAAACTTAGAAAGATTGAAAAACTTCAATGGAAAATCAGCACATTTGTCAGAATGTCTTGACCATAAAAAGGAAACAGCGGCACTGGAAGAAAGCAAGCTCACTGGCAAGCTCTTGGTGGTTGAGCCTTGGCTCCTGGGGCTTAGTCAGGCCAAAGCAGGAGAGACCATGTGGCCACCTCCACATTTACCCACCATCTGCAAAGCGGACCATTAAAGTCTGATGCCTTGCAAGCCTGGTGGCAGGCGAGGGAGGATCCCTGGCCATGCTGCCTCCTGGTTGTATAACCTAGCTTTAGGGTCGTAGAATGTCAACTTTAAGGTAGTTATGGAGCTGGAACTTGTGTGTTAAGTTTAGTGATACCACATATACCGTATTTTCCGCCGTACACATTGCTCCGCCCTATAAGTCGCATCAGTCCATATTTATCTAATAAAGTGGAAAAATCCATAAGTTTGTTGCTTCGCCATATACGTCGCATCTATTATGTGCCACCACTGACGCGTTGCGTTTGTTACAAGTCACCGCTGACAACCCGGAAATGTGGGCTGGTGTTGTGCCAAAAATTAATTGGCTGCCAAATGGCGGCCACAGGAGCATGCACAGGAGGACTTTTAACAAGAATTTAACAAGATATTTGTTTGCTCGAAATTATAGCAAAGCTGTGTCTCAGTTTAACGTTTGCTTAAAAAATGCACTTTAATGGTCAAATTAGTTGCATTTCGCCAGGGCAGTGCAGCTAGTTTGATGGTCGATACAAGCAGCGAGCAGAACCATGGTGGGGAGACTATTGGTTTATAAATATGAGGGAACTCCATAAATATGTCACTTCGGCCTATAAATCCCAGGGCATGTATATGATGTAAAAAAAAAAAAGTGTTACTTATAAGGCAGAAAATACGGTAGTTGGACTCATCTCCACACACAACTTGGGCTCTGGAACTTAATTTCTGGAGTGGGTCTGAGCTCTTTGTTACTCTGGAGTTGCCCAGTGAAAGAGGTGCAGAAGAGACTGGTATGGCGCTTTGCCATCATCTCAACTCATCGGCTCCGCACAACATGGTACCAGTTAAGGGTCTGCCCACTGTCAGTATCCACCCCACTCAGCTCAGTTTATGTAACCACCTTGTTTGAGGTTCCAAGGCAGCTAAGGTGAGCAGACAGCAGCCATTGATTGGCCAGTGGCGCTACGTCACTGGGTGAGCCGCCTAGCAAAACTGCAAATGACATCCACACCTCCACTTCTTTATCGTGTTGACGAACGGCGCCACAAGAAATGAGCACATTTATAGAGAGATAACAAAGCTGATGGTGCAGCATGATTACATCCGGTCTTATAAGCAATGCCGGAATAAGCGAACAAATTCAAGTCTGATTATAGGACGATTAAGGACCACAACAAGCGAAGGGGCTCTAACACAAAAAGACTGTTTACGATCCCGCCCACCTTGCACTGACAATCCTGTCCACAGAGTGGGGAAAGAGGTCAGCCTTAGTGGCAAATCACCTACACCTGAAAAGAACCGAGAAGTTGAGAGCCGAGTGGAGTCACGCCAAATGGCAATGCAGCAATAGTCTGATTTACAAGAGAGGCCTGTAAAACAGAACAGCTTATGCACCATATGGCAGTCCAGATTACATGACTCTTTTTCATTGTATGGCTCTGGTCAGCCCAGCTCGGGTCTTTCAGGCTTGTTACAGCCTTATTGATTTTGCACATGGGCAGAATCGTCATAGCAAGAGCACAAGGCTCATATGCCGTCATTTTTTGTGACGCCCAACAATGAAAAACAGCGGAAAGGTAAATGAGCATGTACAAAGCCATATAGCAGTATTGCATGGAAGGGGAAAGGGCCAAAACACGTACGAAGGTAAGTTAATGCTACCTAATGTTAGCTAGTTTGAAGTCGTTTGAAGCTGCGTGTATAACTGAGCCAGTGAATCAATCAGTGACCTACAGTACACTGACATCATAACTTTTGTGTGAGTCAGACCTCAAAGAACATCTGGTCTCTGGATTCCAAAAATGGAACTCGAAGTGGGCTGGACAGCCTAATGCAAAGACTTAAGAACCTGGGCCAACCAGGCTGAGCCTTACAAGGCAAAAGGGCCATTAGATTATCTGTTGTTGTTGTTCAGGTGACAATGCCCAAGTCAGCAATGAGAGTCAACTAAATTAAGACTGATTGGAGAAAAGTTCTCTTCCCTGATCCGAACCCGAGCAATGTTCTGTTATTGGACTGTTGTGCTAGGCATCAGCTGTTCATAATGAACATTGTATTCAAGTATAAGGTGGTCCATATGTGTTACAAGGCCAACTTAGAACAAAAGTCGATGATTAATTTTTAGGAGTCCAAGCCTGTGGAGGCAGGGGAACACAGCTGCAATGCAGCAAAGTTTCCATGTGTCCAGCAGAACATGGTACCCTATTGAAACGGTTGTTTATTTTTAATTTATTATTTTAACGTTTCTTCTGTAATTAAGTCTAACTGCAGCCCACATCGCAAATAGTTTCAAGATGGTATTTACATTATGAGTAACTACAGTCTGCATGTACAACAAAGAAAAATACTCAGTTAAATCCAGTTTAATTCTATAGCACCAAGTCACAACAGAAGTTGTCTCAAAGCACTGTACCAAAGCATTCACATAAATAATAAAAGCCAATTATTAAAAGTTATCTATCAAAGGAAGGAAGGAAGCGGGAGATTGTGTTGAATCTTCACTTTGTCACAGTCTCCCATCCTGATCAAGCACAAAGGAGACAGTAGAAAGGAAAAACTCCCTTTTAACAGGAAGAGACCTCCAACCAAACCAGACTCAGGACAATCAGCCTTCTGCTTTGACCAACTGGGGTTTGAGAGGACAGGAAGGAGAAACAGACAACCACAGAATGACAGGTCCAGGTGTAGTATCTATTGGAGGAAAGATAAAAAAAAAAAAAACATGTTAAGATAGAAATAATTACACATACAAACAGGTTGAGCAGAGCATGTAAACACAGTAGCAGAGTGAGGAAATGTGGTCAATATGTCCTCAGGCAGTCTAAGCCTATAGCAGCAGAACTAAGGGACAGCTCAGGAAACTCAAGCCAACCCTAACTATAGGATTTAACAAAACGGAAAGTCTTAAGTCCAGTCTGAAAACTGGACAATGTGTCAGCCTCATGGACAGAAACTGGAAGCTGGTTCCACAAGAGAGGAGCCTGATAAATGAAAGATCTTCCTCCCATTCTGCTCTTGGAAACTAGGAACCACAAGTAAGCCTGCAGTCTGAGAGTTAGGAAAATGTGGAACAATAAGATCTGTAATACAAGATGGAGCTAGGTTGTTGAGAGCTTTGTAGGTTAGAAGTAAGATTTTGAATTCAATTCTGGATTTGACAGGGAACCAATGGAGAGAAACTAAAACTGGAGACACACGATCTCTCTTACTAACTCCAGTGAAGACTGGCAGCAGCATTTTGGATCAACTGACATTTTAAAGACGTTTTAAAGAAGTATTTGGACACCCAGATAACCAACACTCACAATAGTCCAGTCTAGACATGACAAATGCATGAACCAGTTTTTCTGTATCATTTTTAGATAAGATGATTTTAATTTTAGTGATATTGTGCAGGTGGAGGAAAGCTGTTCTGCTAACTTTTTTAACGTGGGGGTTAAAAGACATGTCCTGGCCAAAAATAACACCAAAGTTTTTAACTTTGGAATTGGAGGCCAAATTAATGCCATCCAGAGGAAGTGAAAGACTGAAAATTTAATTCTTAAGATGCTCAGGTCCAGAAACCACAACCTCTGTCTTGTCCGAGTTTAAAAGTAGAAATGTTGTATAGTTTATCACTGATTTATTGATGTGATTTATTTTTGGGTTTGTTACCTGATTATTAACAGGTTTATTGTTCACTTTATTACCTGGTTTGCTGAAGCCTTTAATTTCTATTTTTTTTACTAATTTATTGAGGCTATTGATGTGGTTTAATATTAGTAGGGATGGGGCCGATCCAGTATCGGTATCGGCCTCTGATATCAGCATAATTTACATATCGGATTTTCCAATCCTCCTGCCAATATTTTCAATCCATGATACAAGTTGGCTTCAAACTATGGAATGGATTTCCTGAACGGCGGCGTGTCTCATGAACCCAGAGTAATAAGACCTGCCTCACATTCAGGAAATCCAGTTCATAGTTTGCAAACAGCTACAACGTGACGACTGAGTTAGCAGCACTGTGGCTAACAGCTAACAAACTTTTCATCCAGACATGTCCGCTGTGTGGAAGTATTTTACACTAAACATCACAAAACAAGACAGCATCGTGCAATGTCTGCAGAGCCATAGCGCCACATTAAACCGCGGTAAAGTTAGTTTAACGATGAACATTCGAGCTCCGTGGCTTCAGCGGGGCGCTGCTCTTTGGTCAAACCGAAAGAGGCGACTCGACCCCGGCCAGCCGTGTCCAATCTGTCCCGCTCAGTCTGCCCGTCTCTGAGGAGGGACAGACTGAGCGCGGCTGCCCCAAATCAGGCTGCCTGCTTCGGATTGAACAAGAAGAAATCACTGAAACCATGGAGCTCAAATATTTACAGAGAAGTTGCTAAACTTCATCATAATTAATGACCAACCACTATCAGTTGTAGAAAACAAAGGATTTCACAGCTTGATACTTGCAGCCAAGATATAGTTTACCCTCCAGGAGATATTTATCAGTACAACAGTAGACAATCATAAAAAAACATATGATTTGAAAATGATATATATTAAAAACATAAACAGCTACATTATAAAGTGATGTAAAATACTAAAAACAGGAACATGTCTGTTGGTTTATGCCATGAACTTAGCAGATGTTTAAAGCCATTTAACATTTTATTTAATTTAATTCATTTATTCATTCATTTAAATGAAACAAAATAAATAAAAAAAAATCATCAAAAAGAAAACATTGAATGAAAAGAGCGCAGGAAGAAGAAAAAATTCTTATATCTGCCCCTTATAAATTATAAAACAACTTTAAACAATCACTTATATTAATCACTTTTTATCCACTTTAAAGCTAGGAATAAAAATAAACATGTTTTGTGTTAGCAGAATTTAATTCTAACTTTAAAACTTATCCAACATTAATTAAATTTACCTCAAGTTGCCTTTTTGGACATGCATGCATATATTTATACAAATTGTACTTGAGGAGATTATTACAGCCTCATATAAAATCAATGATGATCATGATATCGGAACTGGATCGGTATCAGCCGATACTCAGATCTAGGGATCGGATCGGAAGTATAAAAAAAAATAGTGGATCGGTGCATCCCTAATTATTAGGTTCATTGCCTGTTATTAACAGGTTTATTACCTGTTTTATTAATGGGTTTGGCAACATGTTTAATATTTGGCTTAATAATATTGGGCTTATTATCTTAATGGGTTAAATAACAGGTTTGTTACCTGGTTATTGGATTTATTAGCCATTCACCTGCAGGTCAGTCTCAGAGTTAAATGTTTGTCATCTTTTAAACCCATGGTTAGTAAATAACTGATACTGATTAATCTAAAAAAAGTTAAGTCAGGTCCTCTGGACATTCAAAAAACAAAAAAATGTAGAAACGTTTCGTCTTTCATCCAAAAGACTTGAAGAAGTCTTTCGGATGAAAGACGAAACGTTTCTACATTTTTTGTTTTTGTTTTTTGAATGTCCAGTGGACCTGACTTAACTTTTTTTAGATTTTTCTACCTGGATTATTGAGCATGCATCAGGATACTGATAGATGTTTTTAAAGTTAATAAATGTAGTTGCAATGTTTTGTAGCCTTGGCTGCTGCGTATCGGTTACTTTGACATGACGTAGAGTTTCAGACTGCATTAACCGTTTCAGGGGACGTACGCTGAAACAAAATGTTCGTGTTCCTCCGACCGCCAACCGTGTTTATTTAGTCTTTATTACAGTTTATTGTTAAAAATCAGATTTATGACCGTCTGCAGATATCGTAATCGTTCAAGTAGATTTATGCCGACTCGGGACTCTATGGCATTGAACCGTTGAGTCAGGCGATTCTGTCAGACTATAAATCGTCACTCAGACACGATTTGATAGGTGTTGGTCTTCAGTATTGGAGCACCTGGAAGGTAAGAAACTTTTACATTTTGTCGAGTTGTTTGAACCCGAACATGTCCTGAGATCTGACAGTCATGTTCCTCCTGCCGCCATGACTCTCCTCCATCTTTGTTCCACAGCTGACCCCTCCCGCTCTGATCATGGCATCTACAGACAAACCACCTGCCACTGCCCCAGCTCAGGCTCCGCCCCCTGACCCATTTGAATACTATGATGCTGGGAACCACTGGTGTAAAGGCTGTAATGTCACCTCTGGTTCCATGTTTGATTTTTTCACGCACTTGCACAGCAAATCTCATCAAAAGGTTGGTTTACGTTCGGATTTGTCAGGATAGGATCAGACAGAGTATAAATCTGTGTCTATCAGTGTTTGATGTTTAATGATCTTCACAGCTCATCTGTCATTTCTCTGCACAGACTCTGGACCCGTACAACCGGCCCTGGGCTTCCAGTCCCTCCAAAAACTTGAAGAACATGCGATCAGCGGAGAAGCAAACCAAACCTGCCAAAGGTAGCGTGAGACAGCATTACATACTGTGCTGATGTCATCATGATGTGTCAGATGATATGGAGTGAGCCACTGAATGTTGTTAGCTATCTTTTGCTTCCAGGTGGAACACAGTGGATTTCTGCGGCTGTTTCTCTGTCTCTTAATGAAAACAGTGATAACCTTGTGGAGTCGCAGGAGAAACTCATGTTTGCATCTCTGATCTCAGTTCTGTAGCTTTTCATGTGTCCACAAAGATCCTGAGCTACTCAAAGACTTCCCCATCAGTTTCTGCTTTGAAATAACATTTGACCTCCTCCCATTCTGTTCCTGAACACAACCGTTTCTGTCTGAATTTCTCCTTTCCTGACAGGTCATACAGGTGGAGGCGTCCGTCAGGTAAACATCATTTGCAGCTTCTTTTTTCACAGCTTGGGGGTTTCAAAAGTCCTTTTTGTGTTTGGCTGCAGGTTCAGAGTTCCTGATTCCTGTCAGAGGCTTCTTCTGCCTGCTGTGCAAACAGTTTTATGGAGACGCCATCTGCGCTGAAGAACACAACCTCACACACTTTCATAACGAGAAATACAAGGTATTCACCCGAGCTGCTTCATTCAAACCTCCAGTAAACCCGAGGATTTCTCATTTCTACTTCCTGCTTCGTTTTACAACCAAACAGCTCAGGTTAGACTTTTTGTTTTACTTACAGCTAGGCATGGGCTGATGACCAAGTTTAAGGTATGGGGCGGTGGTAAAACGTCACGGTGTAGAAACCATTTTATTTTTGTCAAGTTCTTACAGTTACCTGATGGCAGCGCACAGCGGTGCGGTGGCTTGGAGCTCCGAACCAAGTTATACCTGACAGAGCTTCCTGTAATTTCATTTGATGTTTGTAGAATGACAATAAAGTTGATTCTGATTTGAATAATATAACAGAGACAGGACCCCCATCTCTTCCTGAGAGCGGACCAGTTTGCTCTGAGTCATTCAGGTGTGTACTATAGCTAAGGAGAGAATTCCCCAAAAACTTTAGTCTTTTGTAGTCACGTCGAAAAGCAGCCATAGCATGGATTCACCTTTGCATGTCGGAACATTCGTAAACTTTCTCTGGTCTAAACCAGAACTTCTGTTTTGCTCAGAATAATCATACACATACATAATCACTGGACGAAGTGTTACATACACTTTTCATCACCCCAGCTCCCAGGTCAAGGTTACAAATCAAGGTCAAAGTTGAAACAAGGTCTTTGTAGATTGCTGTATAAGTTTGTCGATGGGCGTATGATGTGTCTTGTGCTGTACTCTTGTTAAAAAAAGAAGTCTGGTGGTTGAACATTTTGTCTCAAGGACTCCTGAGTCTGTCACGGCTTGGTTACCAGAGGACAAATACCTGTCCCTCTTTGCCAGGTGATGATACTTAGAGACTGTTTGCAACAGATTGCATTAGTTAGCATTATAGTAGAGCCCGATCAGTATGGAAATTTTGGATATCGCCAATATTAGGAGGGGAAGGCTAATGCCGATAACTGATATAATGGCTGAAAATATTTGAGCTTTGTCCATCCCCAAGAATCTAAGTAAACAGCTACTTTTAAACCTATTTTAAAACTTGAAGTCTTGAAACAGTCTTCCTAATGTGCGTTCACATTTTCTATTCTCCACTATTCACCATAAAGTTATCAAGTGTGTTACAAAAATATACATTAAAGAAACGCCTTCCCTGTTCATTATTGAAACAGTCGGTCATGTATGGTGAAGGTCTAATTAATATTGAACGCAGCAGAGTTAATTTTTTTTCTTTGTAGAGAAGTAAAGATTTCAAACAAACAATCCATTTCATTGAAGACAACAAAGATAACGTGACTAATATTGATCTATTTTACCTCTATGTTAAATTTATTGTTTATTGTAAACGTTAGCTTGCTAACTTGAGAGGCTCATAGCTAATGACAAGCAGGTAGGAGAATTGAAGAGAATTTATTATTGATTTATTTTACAGATCAGTTAAAATTAAAGTACCGTGCTCTGTTCAGCAAAATACACTACACAGTATTGCTCACTGCTTCGACTGTACTGAAAGTGAAATGTCAAGCAACCATGACTTTAAAGTAATCTACATGCACCTGGATGCATTGTACCATTACACCTTTTGCCAGTAAGGACACGGCTTGTTCCCAGTGTTTATATCGGTGCATAATGGGACAAATCAACGATACCAATGTGTCCCCAAACGCCTGTATCGGCCTAAAATTTCAGCCCTCACCGATATATCGGTCGAGCTCTACCTTAGTCAGAGAAACAGCAGACTGCAGGCTTGTTACTGAGACAAAGAACCAACTAATTACCGGTAATTAACGTCCCCTTGTCAGGGTCTCAAAGTTGGTCTACACAACTCCTTTAAATTTATAGATATTCTGATGTGGTGTTACAGTTCAGTTTGCAAGTTTGTGAAGGTGATAAAGCAAATTGTTCTTTTTTTTCCCTCTGAAATACAAATGCCTCAGTCCTCAAGTAGGCTAAATATGAGTGGTCCGAACATTAAACCATCTGTCAGAGGAAACTTATTTACATGAAGAACTGCTTTGTGTCATTTAACAAGCTGACATCAGGTACAACAACCTGCTGACTCACTGTTCACATTTAAAAATTAAATTCAATACTTGTATTTAAATTAAAGTTTCAGCCTTCATATTTTAATTCATATTTTAATGTCATTGTAAATACAAATGTTAACCAAAGCTCATCCGGTATTAGCTTAAAGCTGACACATTTTAAACATGTTTACTCATGTTTCCTGTCTCCTTATTTATCCCTGTATGTTAAGATTTAAAGAACTACACATAAATACTGTAATGGGTAATATTACACTTTTTGTAGAATATAATTTTTAAGCAGAATTTTACATTATTTAGACTTGATTATGGATGTACGATACTGGATTTTTGGCCGATATGTTAAAACTTGTTTGGCCGATACTGATATGTTATATACTTTCCTTTGTCAGAACATAGCCCTCTTATTTAGGCTTATTTGCTGCAACATTTGTGTAACAGCTGTAAGAGCTGGTGACATACATTCAGGAGCAGCCATATGATATGCATAGCACTTTAACTTATATTAAATGAAAAGTGTTAAATGTTATTTATTAGCATTAGTCACCTGTGATGTTGTCTCACTTGTGGAGGCTTGTTCCAGGTTCCTAGCTGCAGTGTGGGATCCTCTGCACTCTTGTGCATGAAGGACAGACTTTTTAAGTTCAAAGTTTTTGTCTATCCATTGTTCCGTAAGACTAATCATGCTATCAGCTATTAGCTTCTCAATGACGTCCGAAATGACGGCTTGTAACTCGGGTAACGTTACGTCGGAAAAATATCTCTGACTGGGGACGATGTAACAAGGCTCAGCGTAGTCCATAAATCTTTGGAATCCGACATCCTCACCAACGAAAAATAAAACTTCCACACTGCCGACATTTTAAATTTTCCTCTCCGCCATGAAATCAGGTAGGCGCACGTGACGTCATCACATTGTGCTGGCGCTGTAGGCATCCTTGTCACTGGATTGTCATGCAAAAACAGCACCTTTTATATCGGTGAGTCATTTTGATGGAATGGCAGATGTTCGATATTGAACTTTATCGCTAATATCGGCCGATACCGTGCCGATAATATTGTGCATCCCTAGTCTTGATAATAGTATTAGTATTTTTTAGATACAAGCTAATAAATCATGTTTATATACTGTATAAACAGAGAAAAATAGAAATACTGTATACACATATAAATAAATATACCCAAGTGCCTTCTGGCATTTGCCAGGTAGAGACTATAAATAAGGAATTGTTTTCAATGTGCCACCTGGTAAAATAAAAGCTAAATAAATGTAAATATTTATCGCACCATCTCACAGTGAAACCACAGTGTTTCTGCTCCAGGTTATCGTACCTGCCCATGTCTAATTACAGCCAAACGAGCAGTCATGGTAACATTAAAGTCATTTTGTCTTGTTACTAGTTTGAATGTTTTTCTTTAGGCTCCTCCCTCCTGCAGGGTTCGCCTTACATTGAAACATTTGATGACTGTTTGATGCCAGATCTTCTTCCTGGTGCTACCTGGAAATATCTGCAGTAACATTGTAAGATCAGTCAGCACTCAGTGTGTTCTGGAAGTGGCTACCATACTAAAGTTTAACTCAATATTACATTGGCTGAATTGTAGTCTTTTGTGTTTGCCAAGTTCAGTTGGCTGTGGCAGCCATCTTGATTCGGGTTAACTCCAAATGTTGATCAGCTGTCAGCATACATCCACAAATAACATTGCTAAAGATGACCGTCCAGTTTTATAAATAACAAATATACCAGCTGTCAGCACGGTGGTGGAGAGTTGATGGTTTAAGTTGGCCACAAACAACTCTATAGTAGGGGTTGAACGAGTATATAATTTTTAAACTCGACATTAACATAATAAAACCCGAGTAGAACTCAAGTATTTGATGACGTCATAGATCTCAAAATACCAAAATAAATAAATAAATAAATCCACAAAAAAAGGCAATTATTTACAAAAAAAAGACCAACAAAACATTGGGAGCGTATATTATGCTCCTACCATTTATCATACTGCAAATAAGTCACAGGAAAAACTAAACTATTAGTTATTATTATTAAACTGCAAACGTGAAGAAACGTGTAGCACGTCAAAAACGAAACTTAAAACAGTGGACCCGGTGTTACACCATACTCTGTGACCTGCAACAGTGTAACTCCGCCCCCTACGGTCATACGGGGGTCACATAATATGACGTCACTACGGATACTCGACATTACATTTTTAACCTCGATAGATGTCCTAGCAATCGATGTGTAGATTACTCGAGTACTCTGTTAATGCCCTACTCTATAGACCAAAAGACTATTTTCAGTCCAATGTGAGGACATTTGTCCAACAGCTAAAGCTTGGCCCAAACTGTGTCCAACAGAACAGTGATCCCAAACCCATCATCTGATCTACAAGTTATTCATTGCTTAGTATAGTTTTGTTTCTGTGCTTAATAAAATAAAACTCAATGAGGTCAGATTTACTGAATGTGAACACCTGCTGAAGACTCAGTGAGGTTATTTCATCTTAATATGCAAACTTTCAGAATAAAAGGTTTAAATAAACAGGGTTATAAGTGTTGGAAATATGTCAGACAAAAAGCATTGTTGATTTGTCATCTTCATTCTTTCTGTTTTGATTTGTTCTTCAACAGAACCAAATGTATGAGAACCCGCTGTATGAGCAGAGGAGGAACTTGGACCGTCAGGCTGGCTTGGCTTTGGAGGCGAGTGGAAAGAAACGCAAACATGACGAGGACCACAAAAATAGCAAAGAAAAAGAAGAAAATCCCAAATATAAAAAAGAGAAAAAGTATAACGAAAAGGAAGAGGATGCTTCTGTGTACAAAGAGGAAAAATACAAAGTTAATATGGGAGAGGAGGTAAAGCCAAAGCTGAGCAGGAAAGAGGAGGATTTCAGAAAGAGCCAGGAGCAGGAGAGGTACTCTTACAGCAAGAAAAATGAGGAGGACAAGTATAAATACAGTAAAAAGGAAGACAGATTACGCTACAGTCGAGGCGATGAAGACCAGAAAATGTGGTACAAGAATAGCAAACAAGATGAAGGGTATCGGTACCAGTGCCGCAAGAATGACGACAGATACGATGAGCGTCCAAAGAGCCGCTTCAGAGAGGACGAGGACAAATATCCAGACAGCAGATCTAAATACAGCAGCAAGTGGGATGAAAGTAAACCTCAAGCTGAAAGGGAAGCAGACAAACCTGTAGGAAAACCAGACCACATCAAGGCTGAACTTCCACCAAAACCCTACGAGCTGCCAAAAATCTTCTGTGGACCCAGTCCGGCCATGAGGGCAAAGCTACGCAAGCAGAGCCTGGAATCCGGTAAAGCACCAGCTGCCACCACTTCTTTTGGGAAGTTCATGTGGAAGAAGAAGGATAATCAGCTGGCAAAGGAGGCACAGAAAATAGCCGCAGATTTCATCAAGGAAGACGAAATAGCTGCCAAGCAACAGGCTTCCACCACTGAGGATTCTTTTGCAAAGTCTATGGCTGTTGCAAAAGAGATAGCACAGAAGCTGTCAGGTGAAAAATTCATGCCTCCACCTTGGTATTCTTGTGGTCGAGGACAGATCCGCCCAAACCTCCGTGCACCTGCCAATCAAATTAAAAGGATAGCCACGGTGGGAAAACCTGCATCACTCAATGCATTTCTTAACATGAGATCCCCAAACACCAGTATAGCAGAAGCTGCTCCCAGTCCCCCTGTCAGTCCTCAGCTTGATCAGATGAACAATTCCCCTTCGGTCCACACACCTGGTTCATTAGAGCCAATGCCTGTTCGAGCAGTGACTGAATCAGAAACATTTGGTCCTAAACTTCCGCCATCATTTTCAAAACCTGAACTGTATGAGGGTAATGTTAAACCTTATCCACCTGAATCAAAAACTGTAGTATCTGAAGCTACACAAGATCTGCCAGTTTCTGAACCTGCTGTAGAGCCTAAACCCAGTCCAGTTGAGTCTGAACCCTGTCCAATCGAGTCTAAACCCAGTCCAGTTGAGTCTAAACGTGGTCCAGACGAAGCTATACCTGGTCCAATCGAGTCTAAACCCAGTCCAGTTGACTCTACATCTGGTCCAGTTGAGTCTGAACCCGGTCCAGTCGAGTCTGAACCCGGTCCAGTCGAGTCTGAACCCGGTCCAGTCGAGTCTGAATCCGGTCCAATCGAGTCTAAACCCAGTCCTGTGGAGTCTAAACCCGGTCCAGCTGAATTTAAACTTGCACCCATACAGGTTAATTCTGCTTCACCAGTTTTTTCTCCAACCAAATCAAACCCAGCACCTTCTGAAACTAAACTTGTTCCAGCAGGAGGAAAGCCAATGCCCTTTCAGGCTGCTTTGTCCAAGTGTCCACCTGCACAACCATCAATGATCAAGATTGTGTCTGATGTGGCAGCTCCTGGTGTCCCGGAGAGTGAGCAGACCTGCACTGTGTTTGTCAAACCGCCACCTTTCCTAAGCAAAGCATTGGGACCTCACAAACCAGATAAGGTGAAGAAAAACCTGGCTGCAGCCAAAGCCCAGGATTTATTTGGCATCTTCTACAGTAGTAGTAGCCAGCAAGGACCTTCCTGTTTCTCCAGACCAGAAATTTGTGACAAAAGTCCTTTCTTGGCTCCACAGGCACCTCAGCCAAAACCACAGTCCCCTTATCAGACCCATTCACAGTTTGAAGATAAACTACAACTTCACTTAGAGTCCAAAATTCAAACCCAACCAGAAGATAAACCATTATCCCAAACTCAAGATCAACCTCTAGTTGAACCCCAGAATCAACCAAAACCTCAAATAGATCTCCAACATGAGACTCTTTCTTTCACTCAAACCCAGCCTTCAACTAAGGTCCAACCACCTCTGGAGCCCGACTCAAAAATCAGTCCTCCATGTCCCCAAAACCAGCCTTCGACCAAGGTCCAACCATCTCCGGAAACGGAACTCGACTCAAAAATCAGTCCTCCATGTCCCCAAACCCAGCTTTCAACCAAGGTCCAACCACCTCTGGAACCAGAACCCAACTCAAAAATCAGTCCTTCATGTCCCCAAATCCAGACTTCAACCAAGGTCCAACCACCCCTGGAACCGGAACCCGACTCAAAAATCAGTCCTTCATGTCCCCAAATCCATACTTCAACCAAGGTTCAACCATCTCCGGAACCGGAACCCGACTCAAAAATCAGTCCTCCGTGTCCCCAAATCCATACTTCAACCAAGGTTCAACCATCTCCGGAACCGGAACCCAACTCAAAAATCAGTCCTCCGTGTCCCCAAACCCAGCCTTCAACCAAGGTTCAACCATCTCCGGAACCGGAACCCGACTCAAAAATCAGTCCTCCGTGTCCCCAAACCCAGCCTTCAACCAAGGTCCAACCATCTCCGGAACCGGAACCCGACTCAAAAATCAGTCCTCCGTGTCCCCAAACCCAGCCTTCAACCAAGGTTCAACCATCTCCGGAACCGGAACCCGACTCAAAAATCAGTCCTCCGTGTCCCCAAACCCAGCCTTCAACCAAGGTTCAACCATCTCCGGAACCGGAACCCGACTCAAAAATCAGTCCTCCGTGTCCCCAAACCCAGCCTTCAACCAAGGTTCAACCATCTCCGGAACCGGAACCCGACTCAAAAATCAGTCCTCCGTGTCCCCAAACCCAGCCTTCAACCAAGGTCCAACCATCTCTGGAACCGGAACCCGACTCAAAAATCAGTCCTTCATGTCCCCAAATCCATACTTCAACCGAGGTCCAACCATCTCTGGAACCAGAACCCGACTCAAAAATCAGTCCTTTGTGTTCCCAAACCCAGCCTTCAACCAAGGTCCAACCATCTTCAGAACCTGAACTCGACTCAAAAATTGGTCCTCCGTGTCCCCAAACCCAGCCTTCAACCAAGGTCCAACCATATCTGGAACCGGAACCCGACTCAAAAATCAGTCTTTCGTGTCCCCAAACCCAGACTTCAACCAAGGTCCAACCATCTCCGGAACCGGAACCCAACTCAAAAATCAGTCCTTCGTGTCCCCAAATCCAGCCTTCAACCAAGGTCCAACCATCTCCGGAACTGGAAATCGACTCAAAAATCTGTCCTCCATGTCCCCAAACCCAGCCTTCACCTCTGGAACCGGAACCCGACTCAAAAATCAGTCCTCCTTGTCCCCAAACCCAGATTTCAACCAAGGTCCAACCGCCTCTGGAACTCGACTCAAAAACCTGTCCTCCGTGTCCCCAAATCCAGCCTTCAACTAATATTCAACCATTTCTGGAACCCGACTCAAACTGTAATGAATCAGACATTCAGATCACCTCTGTTTGGTCTCTTCAGCCCACTGCAACAATTCAGGTGGTGCCAACGACCCAAGCCAAACCAGCGCTACCAGACTGTCATCAGAGTTTGTTTCTAAACCAGACCCCCCATGAGGAACCAACACCGGAACCCCAGCCCAAACCAGCCCCTCAGTCCCAAGAAAAGCTTCAACTTGAATTCCAGCCCCTTTCAGAAACGGATCCATCACCACAGTCTAAACCCAAACCTGGCCCCAAAACCAGAGGCAAGTCAACACCAAGGAAGGCCTCTCCTGCTTCTGCTCCTATTCGACAAACACGGTCTCAGACCAGATATCAGACCAGGCAGCAGCAGAGCCAGCCAGAACCAGCATTAGGAGACCATGACCCCACAACTTCAGATTCAAAAGGTTTGGAGGTTTCTGATCCAGGGTCTGAGCCAGAGATTGAGACAACCAACAAAAAGGATGCTCCAGCGATGGAGATCACCCCAGAAACTCTGGGTTTTCCCTCAGACCTGATCTCCTTGGACTTTAACTATGATTTTAACTTTGAGTAGGTCAGATATGTGCATGATGGGAGCTCAGGCTTGAAGATTTCAGAATATTTCACTACTGTCAGAGTCTTTTACAGGACTGAACGTTCCTGAAAGAACCCTGACCTTCAGAAATTCAAATAGAATCAAAGTTAAAATAATTTTTCTTTTCATCCAGAAGGTCAGCAGGTATGAAAGTCTGATCTGGTTTTGATGAGCCAAACTAATCCAAACTGGACCAAACTGGCTTTGAAGCACAATGCCAGGCTATGTTTAGAGTTCCCTTGACATCTCTGGTGGATATTTTCAGAAAATTTTGTTGGGTTCTGGAAAAAGGTTCCTGTTTTTCACAGATAGTTTTACCTGCTGAAGTTGGTTTCTGCTCACTGATTGTAGGTTTTTGTTTTCTAAAAGTAAAGTTGTGTTTAACCCTCAAACTGTTTTTTATGTTCATGTTTGAAACCTGTATGAACCTTCATGACGCTAGTCCTGTTTGGTGTTTTAAATAAAAGTTGTAGAAGAGATCTTGTCAGGTTTTAGTTTTTTTGTTCTCAACGATGATTAAAGCAGCTTTTTGACTAAAAAATTCAAACGGCAGTTTGCATTTTTAAAAATAAGCTATAAGTGGGGGTTACAACGTTACACCTGCTTCTGACTCCTTCATGTGCATGTGTCAAACTGGAGACCAGTAGTGAGCGGATGATGACCTGGACAGAGTTTGACAGAATTAAACATCACTACTTCATGTTGAGTCTTTATATTTTAAAACCAGATTGTTCCTGTTCAAACTCCTGGTGAGGCGGTTCCACCGGACAGGCTGTGTTGCACCTCAAGTCGTTACAAATCACGTCCATTAGATCGATTTAAATGTCTAAATTTCTTGTCTTACGATTCCACAATACTCCTCCAGGTGACACAAATGAATGACACTGTCAATATTTAATGGAGCTTTATGGCATTAACCTGTTCATGTTTGATTAGAGCAGTGGTTCTCAAACTGGGGACCCTGGACTCTCCGGGGTCCGCGAGTCACAGCTTGGGGGTCGGGGGGGCGGTTGTCAAGATGATTTAACTTTTTATTTTATTTTTTTGTAATTTGCATTAAATTTTAGCTAAGTCAAATAATTTTAAAAAGTGCATAAATACATATGCAGTGTTCCTCCTATGTTACATCCTTGACAGGGCACTGAATTCTACGACGGGGGTGGGGGCGTCGGTTCAATAGGCAGGTTTGGTTCTGTTGACTGGGCGGGCCACACGCCTTGTATGATGGTGGGGTAATCACTGATATGTGCACCAATCAGACAAATCTAGTGAACTAATAACTCCCGTCTACCTCAGCTTTGAGCCAGTCAAAACTGATGTGATTACGACATGCGTTGTAAATCTGTAAACAAAGTCTGGACTCACTTGGCGCAGAGTTCTTTCTGCTGCTTAGCATTTAGTGGAGATGGAAAGGTATTTCAAACCGTTGACTTCCATAAAGTGAAGAAAATCTCAAAACCAGCTCGTTTTCTATTTAGCTGGATGAATCCACGAACATTTCTAGTGTGGCTCAATTAATTGTTTTGGTGCGCTACACCTGGGACAGAGGCATTTTGGAGGGTCCAAACAAGATTAAAAGCAAAAACTCCTTGTTTCTTTCAATTGAGAAAGCTCCTCGGATGAGAAGTGAAACAAATTCAGTTACAAATAAAGCCCAGTTTTTGCTTTTAATCTTGTTGGATTTATCATGTCCTGGATGACTGAGAATCTTCACCAGCATTTTGGAGAACTTCCTATTCTGCAAGGAGGTACTGGACAGGACTGCGTTACACAGTACAACAGGTGAGGAAATATTCAAACTTTTGGATGCGTTGATGACTGAAACCAGGCTGAGCTGGAAACAATGTGTGGCTGTTTATACGGATGGAGCGCTGCAATGAATGGTCAAAAGAGGGGGGTTACAGTGTGGATTAAATCTGTCAATCCAAAGGTTATTACAACTCACTGCATGTTGCATCAACAAGCACTTGCCTCCATTGAACCACTGTTTTGAACACCGATGTGACTGCAGTTAGTTTTATGAAGTCCATGGCACTATAGTCACTTCTGTTTAGACAGCTTTACCAGGACATGGATGCTGGACATGATGCGCTGCTGTATTACACTGAAGTGCGATGGCTCTTGCATGGTAAAGTGTTAGGGCGGTTGTTTGAGCTATGCAGAGAAGTGGCAGAGTTTGAGTGAGGGAAAAAAAACACTGCACATTTTTTTCCTGACTCGAGTATGTGGCAAAGTTGGCAAATCTTTCTAACATATTTAATTTGCTGAATGGCCACAACCTCTCCATCCAAGGAAGTCACACATCTATTCTAGAAGCTGGCAACAAAATCGGAGCCTTCATGAAGAAAGCAGACCTCTGGAGGAAGCATATATGATGGAATAGTTCCCCCAACTGACGGGTTCCTCCACACTAATAACTTGTCAGTGAGCACAGTGAGGGAGGTCATCACCTCACACCTTGCATCGCTGAGCAAGCACTTCAGCACATCTCATGTAAACTGATGCCTGGAACTGGGTGACCCATTTGCACAAGCTGCAACAGAAAATGGCCTGAAAGGTGAGGCAGAAGAGCAACTCCTCGAGTTATCCTGTGATCGGACATTAAAGGCCTGATTTCAGCAGGTTAATCATTCTAACTTTTGGGCTGCCCTGTCACATGAGTATTATGAAAATAATAATCTGTGATACATGTGATGAAAAATTATGCACAACAAACAAATGAATAACAAATAGCTTTGTATCAAAGGTCTAATTGATTATTCAAATCTGTGAAACTTAAAAAGGCAGATTTTAGACTGGTTCTGTTTGTGAAGTAGTTAAAATTGTGTCTAAAGTGAGCTGTAATTTGATAAGATTATTGTGATGTATGATCACCAGAAGTGCATTGAAGAGTCTCTCGCACCAGAACGAGATGTCAGAACGTTCCACAGCTGCTTAAAATGATACCAGCAAGGCCTGGGATGCTCCGGTGACTGAGAGGCTGATCGTTTCCTCAAAGTTCACCTATCATCGGTTGGAGGGACGAAGGTCCGGCCACTGGCTCTGAAGTCAGCTGGCATTTACCACTCTGCGGTGTGATGGTTCTGGTTTGGTCAGGTTCTCTCGTCCTGAGACATTTGCAGAAAGGATGCTTCTCTTCTTAATTCTCTTCCTAGGATGTCTCTCTAGGAGGATGCGTCTTTCTCTGAAGTTTGCTCGAAGTCCAGTTGAAGTGTGTTGAGTCGTTGATGAAGAAGTAGAAGCGAAGAAGTGCTTGTAGAAGAAGTAGAAGTTTAACTTAACTGTCTGTGTTACAGGTTGACTTTGGTCCACCTCTCGGAAGAGGGATGGTCCTAACTCTTGGCTTTGTTTTTATAAAATCTAAAGTACATTTTTCTCTGTCTGCCTTTAAAAGTCACTCTTCTTTTAAAAGAGAAAAATAAGACAAATGATTATCTTAAAGAGAGATTACTTAAAACACACATTTTCATGAATAAACATTCAGGTATGACATATTTTGAAATAACAGGCAATGTTCATCAAAAGGTGTCACTGTCCATTTCCTGAAAAGCAAATGTCATTAAACAAAAGGGTTCTTTCATGTGTTATCTGCATGGGAACCCATCCTGGGAGTAATACTCCTTTTTGATAAACGTAAAGTCTCGGCAGATGTTTCAAACTTTGAGGTCAGTTGAACAAAAACTCATTAAACGATCTGTGCGTTTCATGTGAAATGAGTTCATATTGGCAGAGGTTAACACAGTGACAAGTTTTTTTAAATACATTCACATTAGTGTCAACTAAGAAGTTTGTGAACTGAGTTGAACATTTGTAAAACAATGGTCTGTTTGTTCCCAAGGGAATAGATTAATCTTATTTTAATGGTTTAAAACAAAAACGCATTAATGATGTTTGTTTGAGATGAGGTGAACTCTTTTCTGTTTGAGCTGAGATGAACTGTTTCTGAGGTGGTGTTGCCCTACAAACAGTATTTTTATTTTTTTTCAGTTGTGGAACATTAAATTTTGCAGCGTCATCACTTCACTAGCACTAATGTAAACCGGTTCTGTGAACCAAAGCTTGTAAGAAAATAAAATGTTCAACACATTCTGACTTTATCTTCTGTATTATCACCCAAAAATTGTGTTTTTATTTAAGATAGGCTGAGTCCAGTTTTATTTTAACCATTTTTGTAAAAACGAATTTGATGACCACGTTACATTACTGTAAAAAACATGACACGAGCTAAATGAGGCACAAGATTTAAACACTGTTTACATTATAACATTCCACCTTCTGGCTTTAAGTCACAGCTTCCTTGACTGCTCTTGGAAATGTAAAAACATGTAATCAGTCAGAAAAATGTAACTATGTGGATGATTGAACAGAAGAGCTGCTTCATCTGAGGGTTTCCACGTGCATCACTTCCTGTCCTCCATACTCAGTGCCTCAGTGGAACAACTTGTTTGTATTTGGTGTTTGGATCTGATCTCGGCTCTAGCTTCCTCACTGCTTCCCTCGTGTTTGGGCTGTAGCGATGGGTGATGATGTGTCTCCCCACTTCTCATAAACATCCAGGCCAGACCAGAGGTTCCCTCCTCATCATCTCCTCCTGCCGTGCCCTGTACAGTGGAAGAAAACGTCTCTTAAGGGCTGCTACAAACAGTGAGCTTCATAAAACCATATACACTAGCAGGCATCTGTTGAATATAAAGAGTTTATATTGTTCTTTGAAATAATGATCAGAAACTATTCAAGTTCCACTTCTTGTGCATTTTCCCTCTTGAGTCTGAAGAATTTTCTGGTTTCTAGATATTGAATGTGGCATCAAAGCGTTTTTCTGCAGGACCAATTTGTTTTTAATGAGTTTTAATAAGTAGCAAAGATCCAGATGCAGTCAAATCTGCTCAAACCCAACAATAATTGAATAATGATCTGTAAGAATAAGGCCTTGGTTTAACACATAGCGTTTAGAAAACACTTTTGGCTACGTTAGATTTATATGAGGCATTTTGAACTCGGAAACAATTAACTTACCTTTGAAATTCTTTATAAAACTGGACACATACCGCTTAAATCCTTTGTCATTTTTACACGTTGGAGCTTTCGAGGACATCTGAATAATTCTATAAACATTGTCATTGTCCTGCAGCGACCAAGCAAAAAACGCCATTACTAACACTGTTGCCTGTGAACCGGAAGTGCTCAGCGTGGCTAAAAAATTTGGAAGTGCTAGAACGGAAGTCCTTTGCATATAGAGTACTGTATTCAGGTGTGAAAAGTAATCAGAAGATATATATACTATGGACCCCTAATCTCAAAGTTGAAATCAGACGTATAGAGATGGAACTTGATCCCTTTTTCAAATTTATATTCCAGAATAGAGTCGGTCAGGATTAACATTCTTCCCCGATTCCTGCATTTATTTCAATGTTTACCTATTAAAATACCCGAAAGGCATTTTATAGAATGGGACAGATTGATATCGCAAAATATTTGGCAAGGGAAAAATGCAAGAGTGAGATACAAAATGCTACAGTTA